GGGAAGTTCAAGATCAAGGAGCTGCTGGACTGGGGCCGGGCATGTCCACTTCCAAGATGGCGCCTTTAGTGTTGTGTCCTTTGGAGGGAATGAACACCATGTTCTCCCGTGGCAGGAGGCCAGAAGACAGCAGATCTATTGCCACACCTTTTTTTAGAGTCATATTAATCTGTTCTAAAGTGGATTTTAAAGTGACTGTGTCCTAATGAGCTTAGCACCTCTCATCAAGTGCCTAGAAATCACCTCCCTTTGCCCCATCTGCTAACATGGTGCACTGGACGTGAGGTTTCACATGTGTGTGTGGAGGGAAGAAGGTGTGCGGGCCACAGTAGCGGTCATGACTGTGTGTTTCACTTGGGAAGCCGGAAAGGGATCCTGTGTTTCTCTTGGTAGAATCTCCAGGAGCTGATGGTGAATCCCATGCCAGGATGACGGATGTGCTTTCCCTTTGTGTCTGCTGGGTGTTACTGCCATCCAGCAACCTTGAGGACAACTTGCTTCAGGTTTTTGGTCAATGTCCCACCTGGAACAGATATGCTTAACTACCTCCTACCTTCCTCCTATGGGGAACTAGAAGCTGTACTTTGACACCCTTTCAGAGTTTATATTGTGTCCTACACACATCCAACTAATAATGGTTAATGTTTATTCAGTATAATGCTAAAAGTTGTACATGAAAGTTATAATTTAATCTTCAAAAAACTCAATGAATTAAATGAGAATAGTTTCATGGATAAAGAAATTGAGGCTTAGCGGAGTTACAAAAATTGCCCAAGTCATCCTAACAGAAAGGGTGCTAACCAGATCTGTGGCCCTTGGCTTCTGACTGTTGAAGTCCTGCTTGTGATCACAATTAAGTATTGATCTTTTGGTAAGTGAATTACTTACCAGGTCTACATTTGCACTAGAAATTGTATCTACAGATTTGTTACCTAGCCTAAAACATTGCCTCAAGATCTACAAGACAAAATCACTTACGAACAACATTAGAATTTGTGCTTGTGGACTATGGATTTTCCTTTCAATTCGATTCAGGGTATATTCATCTCTGGGGGGATAGTTGTGCCCACAGCCTCAAAGAATAATAGCAAATGGTTTTATTGCACAATTTATAAGCCCACATGTTTCTTCATTCTTGTGTAATTTACACACTTATTGTAAGTAATTTGTATGTGTGGATATTTGGATTCATGATTCACCACTGGTGCAAAAATCGTGAATAGTCAGTGTTAGAGTCCAAGGAGGCTGATTTTCTACTGCAGGGGTCAACAAATCTTCTCTATAAAACTGCACAGTAACTGTTTCGGGCTTTTCAGGTCACGCAGTCTCTTGCAACGGACCCACCAGCCCTTGTGAAATAAAAGCAGCCATAGACAGCATGTGAATGAATGGACTCGGGTATGTTTCCATAAAATGTCATTTCCAAAAGGCAAGACACTGACCTGTACCACAGTCTTTCCTTCTGTAGTTAAGGAAAAAAAGACTTTATGACGCAGCAGGTTCAGCTTAAACCAAGACTTCTAGACCAAGGTTTAGGAACCAAACCTTCTACTGGTAGCATTTCGATCATGTTAATTTACACTTAGCTTCCTTCTCATTTCTTTTTGAAGATTATAAAAACTTCAAGCACTCAAAAAGACATAAAGAATGATAAAAACTTTGGCAGCAGGTAATCATCACCACGCCTCCAGGGTGTGTGTGAGGGGGGATTATAAACAAGCTCAACGCTTCTAGTGTGTTCTTCCCAGGGTACCCAGGACCCCGACTTCGTGCTCATCATACCCTTCTTAGTCTTGATTCTTTATCATCTACGTCTTCTAAAGCAACAGCTAAGAATGTTTATAGACATTAAAAATACAGTTTATCACGCAGTATGAACCTTTCAGTATTCTTGCATAATGAAAACTAAACGTTGTTCCCTAACTGCAGACTTAGCTCTAAGTTGCAAGTTCTCTTTCATGGCCTTGTGAGTTTACAGCAAGAAGACGGTGACTGCTTAGTGTAGAAAGAGTGCCCTCCTCAGACATCTGTCTGTCAGCGCCTTGACCTTGGACTTGGCATCCAGAACTAGGAAAAATGCATGTCTGTATTTGAGCCTCCCCAGCTACTGTATTTTTGTTATAGCAGCCTGAGCTGACCGGTGCAGACATGGCCTATAGACGGTGAGGAGGGAAGGAAGGTAGGCAGCGTGGTGTTCAGAGGAAATCCAGAAACCCAGCTGCGGTTTTGCCGGCCATCAGAGGAGCATCTCAGGACAGTCTCAGAACCTCTCCAAGCCCTCATCCTCTGCTGGGAAATGCAGAAAATGCGGGAGCAGCCGTGAGCACAGGGAAGCCAAGTCAGGTGCTGCTATTGCTGTTGGGATTGCAGCAAGGGACAGGCCTGGTGGCGTGACGACCTGCACGGGGCAGAGTCTGCTAACAGCAGCACAGTTCGGGAGGAATGTGGTTGTGTGGGGAAAAGCCAGCCTGACCCCGAGTCTCCCGGAGTGTAAGAGGAGGGAGGGGCTGAGGGAGTCACATTTTTCCTCTTGGTGCTACAGCTCGGTGTAGTTTCACTAGCAGATGCATTTTTGGGGGTTTATTGGTTTGTGCTGTTAAAACAACGAGAAGAAACCAGAGGCACACAGTGTCCTGAAGGATGGTAATTAGCTTTGCGGGAGAAGGTTCAAGGGTGGGGAGTTGTTTGGTTGAGAGAAAAGCAGGCTTAGGAAGGCTTAATGACCATGTTTAGGTAAATGAAAGGTTTGCATTTGGGGAATATGGGCCAGTTTTTTATCCAATTTTTTTTTGGAAGACCAAATTAGTGGATATGAACTTAAATGAAAAAGGTGGGATTTTACGATCATAACAAGTTCTCAAAAATTGTAGCAACAAGCTGCTACAGGAGGCTGCCGACAGAGAACGGGAGCCGGTGTCCAGAGGGCCGAAGCAAAATAGAAACAAAAATATGTCATTAAGATGCTTTTCCTAAAGTCTCTTGTGGGTCAACTGGTCAGTTATTCTTTAGATCTAACTATAGTTGTAAAAAAGTCCTAAAAGTTTTCATATTTTTATGGCTGATGCCATGAGTGTGTTTAAAGCCCCTTTATTCCTGGGGCTTCTCCTCATCTCTGGCCACTCTGACCCCAACCCAGGGCTGGACGTCTCCACAGTGAAATCTGCCCTGGATGTCAGTGACCAGTGGACTGATCTCCATTTAACTCTGTTCTGTCCTCCTGGGACTTGGCCCCATGTCTCCTTCTTCATGCCCTAAATGCTCCAAACCACACGGATTTGCTTCTTGTTTGAGTGCTCCCATCCATAGGATGTGGAGTACGTGGATGGCTTGCAGCGTCTGGGGCTCCCTCTGTCACATGTGTATACAGCTTGTGAGAGCTGAAGTGTTTTCCGCTCTGCACCGCACTGCACACTCTCCTGAGAACCACACCCTGGGCACGCTTCCTACCTGTGACGATGTGTGTGCTCAGCCTGACAGAGAAGGAAACCAACTGAAATGCTTTCCAAGATATGACACTTTGCAATATAGGGTAACCCAGCATGATATAGTGTGGGTCACAGAAGGGCTTGGCAAATCACTGTGCGTGAGTCAGACCGGGCCCTCTGTCTGCCTTTATCCTGCCTCTGAGCTAGAAACGCTGTCTGCGTTTTTAAATGCTCAAAAGTCACTAACAAGCAAGTGTCACTTTCCGTTGGTCTCTTCAGTTGTCCTTTCAAGCTGTGGGGGAGATGAAATCACAAGGCTAGGCTGGAGACAAGGCATAGCGAGAGATGCAGATGGGGAGGGCTTGCCTCATTTTGGACAAAACATTAATACACCCAGAAGTGAAAATTCACATGCAGGAGAAATAATCAATCCTTGCACTGTTTGTGAAGTGTCTGTGAAGTTCTGTGTGTGTATATGTGTTTGTGCATATGAATGTATATATGTGGATCATAATCTAGGACTATAAAAATCTGTTTATTTTTCAGGATTCAAGTTCTTTGCTGAGTAGACTCGGTCACTGGCCATCTTATCAGGGATAAACTGGACACACTGGGCCTAGACAGCTTCTGGCATTGTAGGGTAATCTTCATGTGTCTGTAAAGGAAAGATTTGTCACTTAGGAGATCGCGATTTTATGGAGACTTTAGTGGTAATAAACCATGACGGGCGTGGACTGTCCATGTGTCCCATGAGATCACGATTTGTATGGTTGGTTGTGAACGTGTGGGTAGAGCTGAGGACTGATATTCTGAGAAAAGTCAAAAGGTGTTCCTTTGAGAACCAGAAGAATTGGATGGACCTTGCTAGGGAAACTTAAAAGATTTATTTTTAAAAATGTGGACCAGAGGACTATGCAGTGGGCCAGTATCCTGGACATTAACGTTGTATTCCTTTCCCTCATCCCTACACATTTGTACATCACTCAACTGTCCATAGCAGGCAATGGTTGTGCTGAGTTTAGCACACATGTTCTGAGCACCTGTTAGGTGTCTGGCATTGTCCCAGGCGGTAAGGAGGCAAAGAATCAGAAACCCGGACAATGGTTGTAGGAACTGGTGGACAGCCGTGTTCTCTGAAGCACTGTTTTCTGCTATCAAAACCATAAGCATACGACCCAGAAACTCTATATATAAGCACCAAGGAGTTAGAGTTGGATACTGAGAACCCAAATATTTGTACATAAACACTCATAGCAAAACTATTCACAATAGCTGGAATTTGGAAACTTTATTCCTCATTGAGTGGATGATAAACAAAATGTAGTATCTACACACCATACAGTAATATTCAACCATAAATGGGAATGAAGCTCTATACAAGCTACAATATGGATGAGTCTCAAATAATGTACTAAATGAAGTAAACACAAAAGACCACATATGAGGTGTGATAAAAAAATATGATGAACGCTTAGAGAAAACCATTATTATGGTAAAAGGTATATTGCCACTAATTCTGTTCAAAATATTCCATTCTGAACACGTGTATCCCATGATTCTTCTTATCACTTTCAGAGTTCTGGAAGTCTTCTTCCTCTAATGCTGTGCCAATCTGAACTAGACACCTGCAAGATGAGATTCCATGTGGAAGACAAATAGTGCTCTCCATTTGATTTCCAGCCTCCTGCCAAATGTAAATGAGATGAAGGAATCAGCCAGTCCCAGAGGACTCACCTACTCACCACAAGCCAGCAGCTGACATAACGACGTGATCCGCCGTAGCAAAGAAACAGAAGAATCACCCAGCTGAACCCAGCCCAGTTTACTGACCCGTAAAATTGTGAACTAAATAAAACAGTCGTGGTTTGAGCCACTATGTATTAAGATAATTCTCTACACAGCAAAAACTAACTGATGATGGTTGAAACTGTTTTTGATTTACTTTTTATTTAATTTACCTATTTAGATATGAAGATCTTTAAATGCAATTGTTATATCTAAATTAACTTGTTTTATTATTTGAATTGGAAGTCACTCAACTTTTTACCTTTTGTAACTCAAATAGGGATGCATTTTGCTGTTGGTATTTTGCTACATTCCCCTTAAAAGCCATATACGGTTACAAAAAGGCGTGTAGATCTAAAAGCCCAGAGCAAAAGAACTACAAAAAGGAAACCTTTGAAATTTCCAGACTCTTGAATAGATATTGTGACATCTGGTTTCTTGACATCTTTTAATCTAGATAGGCTTCAGATACAAAAAAAAGAAAAAGTCAAGCCACAAGAAAAGGAAATATACTTTAGTCATAGGGCCTCACCCATTCTCTGTCCAAACACGTCACCTCTGGAAGCTGTTAAGTAGACTAAAGTTGAAAGTAGGTCTCTCTTGCTTATCTACACAGAACTTTTCTAACATTGTCAATTCTCTATAGGACAACAGTGAAAGCAGGTACTTTAGGATATTGTCCCTACGCCAGGATGGGAAGGTGAGAGTCAGCTTTTTACCAAGTAACAATCATGGGCAGGAGAATTTCAGTTAGTTAATGACGAATAAAACAATAAATGAGGCCGTCTGAAGATCACTTTCCAAGTGAGGAACAAAAAGTTACTGTGAATACCAGGAAAATGTTTCTTTTTAGGCTCAAAATGCTTTCAGTAAAAAGAAAAAATTCTAGAAAACCAGCTATTTTTAAATGCCTAATGTGCAGAAAACCAATTCCATCCTAACTGCAGTTTGCAGAGTGCGACAGCTAGCCACAGGTTGTGTGCGTGTAATCCTGGTGTCTGGTTATTACAGTCTGTTTTTCATTTTCATCAGACCTGGAAGCAAAAATGAGAAATATGTTGCCCTTTTCTTTTGAACTTTAAAACAATTTATTTATTTTTTATTTTTTTTTATTTTATTTAAGAGGAAAAAGAGAAAAACACAAAACAAAACAAAGCAGTGTAAGGTTACACTATATAATACAGAACTACAAAAAAAAAAAAAAAAACATAACAGTAAGAAATCACCTGTTAATAGATTACATATTATCATCTTGGAAATAGTTGCTCAAATCACAGTATCAAAGAATACAAAGTAGACATTCAAACAGAGAGACTGCAAACAGCTGTGTTCAATGATCCAAAAACATTAATATAGTCAGCTATTTAACACCCCTAAACACACTTGCTGTTATATCCGTTAGAGCTCTTTTTTTTCCCCTCTCTTTTTTACAACAAAATTTACACATTTTGGATTCTATTACTCCTTAGTTCTTATTACTTTTTTGGGGGGGGAGAGAATAAAGTCAAATATGGCAAAACAAAGCTGTCAGTCAAAACCAAGGATAGACATAGCACATGATGTAGAACAGAATACAAGGTTATCAACAATGGTTATCAACGTTGTCTCTTGTTTCCTTAAAAAGAATTGTCTATCTCATTAGATATTATAAAGTTGGACAAAACAGTAGAGAACAAGACCAATAAAACTTAGGCATTGTAAACATTACAGGACTTCCAAAGGAGACAATAGTCAAACCAGAATGGGCATCTTAGTGAATCTTATTGCCTTCAAAGTAGTTGCCTATACCCACAAAGTTGATACACATGGAACAGAGTCTAATCAGTCAAAACAAGATCGTGGGAATATTACAGGACTTCAAAACAAGTCAATAGGAAATCAAAAAGAGTTACTATTATATATCCTAATTTTTTTAAATTTTTCCCTTAATTAAAATAAACATAATAAATAGCTAAATAATTTTTTTAAAGAATAGTAGTTACCATAGTGTCTGTCTTTTTCCTTGAAATATTTGGATAAAACTTCATATACTATAGCTTCAAATATTTCCATATCAAGAAGCCCAGAATAAAGCCTTTCTAATTAATAAGTGAAAATTTTATAAGGCTTCAAGGCCACATAATGGGGAATCATGATTACCACATATTTTTATATATTTGAATCATTACTTACATTAGGGAAACTATTCGGTATTCATACATGCGAGATTGATTTATTTCACTTATGAGTATGGTCTCAAGCTGTGCCCATTTATTGATAAATATCTCAATGTGATCCTTCTTTATAGCTGAATAATACTCCATTGTATAGAAATACCACAACATTTTTAAAAATTTTATTTAAGAGGAAAAAGAGAAAAACACAAAACAAAATAAAGCAGTGTAAGGTTACACATTAAAACAATTTATTTTGGTCAGTGCAGAGAATATTTTCATACAGTACTAATCTCTTTGTAAAACAACGTAAAACGAAGTGCATTTTGAAATGCCAAATGTAAACCAGTTTCACAAGAAACACACGAAATACTCATACTAGTCTATTTCATAGTAAAGGGGGGACAATAAGAATTATGCATATTTATATCACTTATTAGTGCACCAGAGTCTTCACTGTAAAAAGTTAATGCTGATTTGTTAACTAGGGAACTGAGCAAAACCTTACAGTGATTAGGGCTAGTCACCAAAACTGACAGCTAAATATAAATTGATTCGCAAACTAGTTTATGAGATTCTCGATATTCTTCATTTTTTTCCTTTGGGTAAATATTCTTCTCATCTGTGTTTTCAGTTTTCTTATTATTCTGAATTAATGACGTGTGACTAATGAGTTTTTACTAAACTTGACACCCAGAGAATTCAGAGGCTTTATCAGCACCGTTAGGATGTAAGATTGTTTAACAAATAATAAAAACAGGTTAAATTCCACATCTGAGTGGAAATAAAGTGATAATTATTTGTACCTTTTTGGCTAATGGTTGCTTTCCAAATGCCTATGGCTAGTGTATGTGAAATACTGCTTATTCGAGGTAGTGGGCTCTCATTGTTGGCTTAATGTTACTTTTCACCGCTTGGAAAAATTAGCATAAAGAGGAAGGTATTCATGTACTAAATTAAAATCTAAATGGATCAAAGATCTGAATATTAAAACAGAAACACTAAATCTATTGGAAGACAAATTGGGTAAAAACCTTGAAGACATAGGGGTAGGTAGAGAATTCATGAACAGGAATCAAACCGCACGGGAAATACTTCCCAGAATCAATAACTGGGATCACCTCTTATTAAAAAATTTCTGCATGTCTAAAGAAATGTCTAGCATAAAACCATTCCAATTAATGAATGAAAACATAAGTGTTCAAAGCAATATAATAGGGAATCATGATTACCACATACTTTTATATATTCTTATCATTTCTTACACTAGGGAAACTATTCAGTATTTATGTTGGGTTATCTTGTGGTGAAAAGAAAACCCACTAACTGCAAAAAAACCTTAGTGAACTGTCCCTCAGACAAAGGACTTCTGTCTAAAACATATAAAGAATTTTAAAAAATAGGGGCTGGGGATTTAGCTCAGCTGCATAAGCGCCTTCCTTGCAAGTGTGCGGTCTTGAGTTCGATCCCTGGTACTGATAAAAAATGAAAAAGACAAAAAAAAAAAATCAGACCCCCAAAATTCAAAGACCCAATCCAAAAATGGGCATCTGAGATGAATACACATTTCTCAGATGAAGAAATACAAATGGCAAATGGATACATGAAAAAATGTTCATCATCATTGGTCATTAGATAAATGCAAATTAAAACCACACTGAGATTCCATCTCACTCCAGAAAGAATGGCCAGGATCAAGAAAACCACCAACAACAAATGCTGGAGAGGCTGTAGGGAAAAAGGAACTTTCTTGCACTGTTGGTGAGAGTGTAGACTGGTACAACCTTTGTGGAGGTCAGTCTGGAGATTTCTCAAAAAAGCTGGGATTCCAAATCCCATTTGTTGCAGCTATTACACTTCTAGGTATATTCCCAGAAGAACTGAAAGCATCATACCACAGTGATATATGTGCACCCATGTTGATAGCAGCACAATTTGTAATCGCCAGATCTTGGAAACAACCCAAGTGTCCATCAACTGAGGAATGGATAAAAAAGCTGTGGTATTTCTATGCAATGGAGTACTACTCAGCTATAAAGAAGGATCACATTGAGATATTTATAAATAAATGGGCTCAGCTTGAGACCAGACTCATAAGTGAAATATATAAAACTCACATGTATAAATACCAAATAGTTTCCCTAGTGTAAGAAATGATAAGAATACATAAAAGTATGTGGTAATCATGATTCCCTATTATATTGCTTTGAACACTTATAATGTTTTCATTCATTAATTGGAATGGTTTTATTCTGGGTTGTTTGATTTTATTGTCTGTGATAGTATGAACAGCTATTTTGAAGAAAACAAAGCATCATAATAGCTAGTGCTGATTTAATATCATCTTGTTTTGAAGTCCCATCAAGCTTTTGTTCTTCTGTCTCCATCAGTCTTATCATGTTGTATCTTATTGGATTTTATTATATGTGATAGTACAAACAAAAAATTTTATAGACAAGGATATAATATAGAAACCATTGTTCGTTTTCTGTTAGTTGGTTCTAAATACCCTGTAATACTTTCACTGTCTTGATATGTTTGATGCTATAGTATACAAAGTTATACTCAAATATTTCAAGGAAAGAGACACTATGGTAACTACTGTTATGTTGTGTTATCTTGTGGTGAAACACTATGTTGCTTAAATTATTCTGTTCTGACCTGTGCTGTTGTGTTGGTATGTCCTCTTTTATCTCAATCTCCTTTTTATTTATTCTATTATTTTTTAATTAAGGGAAAAATAAATAAATAGCAGGATATATTATAGTAACCATTTTGATTTTCTATTAACTTGATTTGAAGCCCTGTGTTGCTCTCACTATCTTGTTTTGACTGATTTTACTCTATTCTGTTTTGCTTGATAGTATCAAGTTTGAGGGTATAGGTAACTACTTTGAAGACAATAAGATTCACTATGATGCCCATTGTGGT